AAAAAAAAAAAAAAACCTTGCAACAACGGACAACTAACCAAGCACCAACAGACAGCCAACCTAGCAATAACATATAACTAACCTAGCAATAAAATACAACTAACATAGCAACATCAGACACCTAACCTAGCAAGTATTATATAGTTAACAATTTCATTTATTATTCCGATTTGCTTTCTATCTTTAAACAGGTACAACATGGTGTTTGTACCATTTACGGGAATTGATAACCACAAAAAGTGTGTCACATTTGGAGCTGGATTAATAATTAAAGAGGATGAAGCATCATACATTTGGGTGTTGGAAATTTTTTTGAAAGCTATGGGAAGTGAACCATATTACATTATCACTGACCAAGATCCTGCTATGAAGAATGCAGTTCGGGCGACTTTCAAACAGGCAAGACATCGTTTGTGCATATGGCATATAATGGAAAAGGTAAATGTAAAGGTTGGTCCAACATTAGCCAAGGATAATGACTTCACGAAGAGGCTAAATGAAATTGTGTGGGATATTTACATGAATCCTGAGAAATTTGAAGAAAAATAGGGAAAATTGATGAATGATTTTGCAATAACAGAGAATCAGTGGTTTACCACACTATTTCAGATTAGAAAATCATGGATACCAGCATACTTTAAGGATGTCAGAATGGGTGGCCTACTGAAAACAACTTCTAGGTCCGAAAGTGTTAATAGTTGGTTCAGAAGTTACAAATCTCCTCAGGCAAACTTAGTTGAGTTCTTTATGCATTTTGAAAGTGCAATGGATGCACAAAGGCATGTTATAAACAAGCTGGATCATGAATGTGTGAATGCACCTCCTGAGTGCAAGACACCGTTACAAATTGAAGAACATGCTGCAAAAGTTTACACAAAAACAGTGTTTTCGGAGGTGCAAATGGAGATTAAAGCAGCATGTTTTAGATGTGTGCCTGTGCATATTGAAAAGAAGAATGAAACAAACCAGATATAAGGTTGTAGAAGTTGGTCAAGATGGTGTTGAATTAATGGTTAATAAGTGTGGGGATTTGGTGGATTGCAGCTGCAAAATGTTTCAACAGTTTGGATTGTTGTGTCGTCACACGATAATGCTAGTCATGGATTTAGAGAGAATACCAGAGAAATACCTCCTTAACCGTTGGCTGAAGGTTGCTTCTTCTGGACATCGGATTGATAATGCAAGATTTAATCCACTTGATGGAGAAAATCAGAGAAATGCATATTTAAACACTCTGTAGTCTGATTTTTATTGTTGCATATCTCTTGCTGAAGGTAGCAAGGACAAATTGGAACACTTGTCCAAGATTATAAATGAAGAAAAGAACCATTTGTTGGGGGCACATCAAGTTTCAAGCTCAATCCTAAGTAAAGTACAAGAATTCTGTGGATCCGTTTCGAATCTTGATGTTGATATTCTGCCACCAAAGAAAGCAAAAAAAAAAAAAGGAAGTGGAAGCACCACAAAAAGCCGACTGCTGTCACAATAAGAAAAATCCATAAAAGAAAGTCAAAAGCTGAAAGACGTTGTGGAAAATGTGGAGAAGTGGGAAATCATAATAGTAGAACTTGTAATAAGACTAGTGACATATTTGCTTGTAATAAATAGTTCTATATGAATAAGCAGCGGACTTATTAATAAGATTATGAATTTTGATGTGTTGCTACTGCATAGTATTGTTCCAGAAACATAGCATCTACATAGAACTAACCAAGCAACAACAAACAACTAAACTTGCACTAACTGACAATTAACCTAGCAGCAATATACAGTAACATTGCAACATGATGAAACTAACCTTGCAGAGATATATAACTAACCTAGCAACATAAGATAACTAACCTAGCAAGAACATAGACCTAACCTAGCAAGAACAGAGACCTAACCAAGCAACAACAGACTATTAACCTTGCACTAACTCACAACTAACCTAGCACCAGTAGACAACTAACCTAGCTACGATAGACAACTATCATTGCAACTTGATAAAAATAACCTAGCAGAGATATATAACTATCCTAGCACCACCTACATACAACTAACCCAGCAATTAAAGAAAACTAATCCAGCACCTACATATAACTATCCTAGCAGCTATAGGTAACTGATTTAGCAACAACAGACTACTAACCTAGCACTAACAGAAAACTAACCTAGCACTAACAGACAACTAACCTGGCAACGAAAGACAACTATCATTGCAACTTGATAAAACTAACATAGCAAAGATATATAACTATCCTAGCATCTGCATATAACTAACCTAGCAATACTAGACAATTATACTAGCAACAACAGACTACTAATCTAGCACTAACAGATAACTAACCTAGCAACAAAACACAACTAACCTTGCAGAATCAGATGACTAACCTAGCAACAAAAGACAATTAACCTAGTAACTAAAGACAACTAAGTTAGCAACAATAAAGGACTAACCTAGCAGCTACTGACAACTAACCCAACAATAATAGACAACTAATTTAGCAACACCACACAACTAACCTAGCAGCAGTATTTAAGTCGGGTCAATAATGTCAACTATGCAACTAGCAACAGACAATTAACCAGTATTTAAGTCAGGTAGTTATGGGTCATCAATGGCAGACTTCATATAAAGAGGACAGACAAAAATTAGGGTTACACTGCATTGTCAAAGGCTAATACTTTTCTGCCGCCCTGCCTTGCCCTACCAAAGAGAGAAGACTACATCACAAAGCTGAAGGTGAACTCTCTGTTAATAATTTTCTCTTAATCGTCACCATGTTCTATGTATTAACTATTGCATAATATGTTTGATTATATATGCATCTTTTATGTTGTTAAGTTAACATCTTCATAACCCTATTCTCTATGAATTTTGACCTGCATCTCAATAGCATACTACAGAATATGGATCACATCAGAATCTATATGGAGGACACTGGCGATTACTCACTGCCAGTTTTCTTTAGGCTGTTTTGCCCATGATTCTCCACACTATGGTAAAGTTCTTTATTTTAATTCTTCTTTTAATAGTGCACTGTTACATATAAAGCACAGTTTAACTGAAAAAAAAAAAAAAAGAAAATATGCTTGTGATGTTCCAGCCCTTTCCGCGATCCGTGCACGACTATTTCCCCGATGAGGACCTGTCCCAGAGATGCATTATACATACAATAGAAGGACGCACATACGAGACTCTGATAAAAAGGGTTGATGGCTGCCCAACAATTGTAGACGGTTGGCGTGAGTACATTATTATAGAGGGCATTGAACTTGGTACCTTATTTCTCTTCAGACCAACCAACAACTTAGACTATGAAATTAAAATCATTGAGCGCAACAATTGTAGTCGGCTGCCACAATATAATTTCAATGTCAAGATAAAGCCCACACACGTTCAACGTGTCCGTTTGGAAAGTTTAATAAATTTCATCTCGCTGCATAATTAACTTGTTTGCATTTAAATACATATAATACTATTTGTTATATTTTTATGTGTTTTTCGTGCATTTTTATTTGTTTGAGTCGAGTCTTTTTAGGTTCGATTTGTTAGTCCCAGTCCATTTTTGTTCGTTTTTAGTAGTTTTTCGTTCTTTAGTCGTTTTCGAATATTGTTCTATCTCTTTGTGCGTTTTTGGTGCTTTTGTAGGTCAGAAGGAAGAAATAGTCGTTTTCATTGAAATCGGTGTGTCGATTAATGGAGTCAAATTTTCAAGGTGTTCGGAGAAGTGTGCGATGAGTTAGAGCTTTAAAAGTCAAGCCAAGGCCGGATTAGAGCCCTCGAAAATGCTGCTCTATCCCGCGAAAACAGTGTATCTTGCGAGTTCACTCTATCCTGCGAATTCCTTATGCTATCCTGCAAGTTTTCATCCTCTATTCTGCGAATTCACGTATCCTGCGAGTTCCATTTCCTAGAGAAACTATCCTGTGAAATCGAAGACCTAACCTGCGAGTTCAATCTACCTTGCGAGTTTTTATCATTAAATGTGTGTGTTTTATTGTGTGTTTTGCCTAGTAGTATAAATACATTTGATGCTTTGTATTTTGGACATCCAACTTTCATTATTTCATTTTTCCCTTTTGGGAACTTAGCTTATGTTTATGTTTTCTCTCTAGACTAGGAAATCATGTCATTTTCTGGGAGGTTTTCCGGCGACTTTCATTTCTTTCAAGTTTCGAGCTTTTGACTCCGTTTTTCATCGTCTACGCAATAGAAGAATGGGTATTTAGTTTTAAAGCTCTTTACTTCGATTATTGTCTCGTTTTTACTTATAATGTTTATTAGGGTAAATTTGAGTTTGATTGATGTTGGAGGGAAAATCGAGACTTGATTGCTTTGGATTCTTGCTTGAGTAGATATAGGGATTAATTGCTTGTCGATCTAGGTTAAGGGTTATGACCCGATTAGGGCTTAATTGCTTAGGGATAGAAGGCTAGGGTTAATGATATAATGCTCATAGCTCGTTTATTCCGCTTTACCGTTGATTATCATCTTGTAGTGTTGATGGCATGAGATTCTGGTGGTCTAGCTTTGTTACTTACTCGTGATTTGATATTGCTTTTAGTTAATTGCTCGTTTTTAAGTGCTCGTTTAGTGATAATAAACCCATCCAATCAATTGCTTAGAGTGTTTAAGACTTTATTTTCTCTTTTTGTGATTTGAACAATCAACTAGTAAGTGAAACTCCGAATAGCCTTCCCTCGAGATCGACCCGAGTCGAGTAACTTGGTTATCCTTTGCCCACCAATCTTTACTAAACAAATGGCGCCGTTGCCGGGGAGTGCAAGTAGGACGCCTAATTTGCTATTTGGTTGTTCGTTTTTATTGTGTTTCTCTCGATTTTTGTGAACCTTGGTTAATTTCCGTGTTTCTCTTAATTTCTCATGCTTTTGGTCGATAATTTGTGTTTGTGCTTGAGCTTTACCTTGTTTCACATTGGTGCGTTCACGGGTATAGTTGTTGTTTGTGTTTATGCGAGGGAGACGAAGGCGTGCACCCGTAGAGGAGACACCATCGATCGACCTTTTCGTTGAGCTTAATATTGAGGAACCACAACCATAACCCGAAACCGAATCAATGGCGGGATAAGGAGAGCAATTGCCACCACCACCTCCCCCGAACATGAGGTACTTTGCACGACCGATTATTGAAGACAACACCTCATGCCTCGTGCTCGGGGAAGCGGCTCGAAACTATGATCTCAAGACCATCCACCTAAACCAACTCCCATCATTCTATGGCCTAGCCAAGAGGATGCTCTCAACTTCATCCGACACTTCTATGCAACCGTCAACACATTTCCCCTCTAAGGACTAACCGAGAATTAACTCCGGATGAGGTGCTTTCCTTACACATTGAAGGATCGAGCAAAGACTTGGTTCATGACATTGCTTCCGAGCGCGCTCGATACGTGGGAATCCGTCTACGAGAAGTTCATGGGCAAGTACTATTCGCACCAAAAGACCACCGACCTCCGGACCCAAATGGCTAGCTTTAGCCAAAACATCGGTGAAACTTTTCACGAGGCTTGGGAGAGATTCAAGGGCTATCAACTCCAATTCCCACATCACCATTTTTGCCTCGGAGTCCTCAATCAATTCATCTACGATGGTCTCCACCAAACGCTCCAATATATGGTTGACCATGCGGCCGGGGGAGATATCGGGAGTCAAACGGCCGAGGCGATTTATGAGCTCTATGAGATGTTGAGTGAAAATTCTCAAAGCAAGAGCGTTCGTAAGAGGGCCCCCATTAATGAAGCTACACAAACTACCGGGTCCTCGAACGATGCCGTTCTTGCCACGCTAGCCTCGTTGGAGGAGGAACTCAAACAACTTCGGTTGAGAGATGTAAAGTCCACTCAAGTTGTGATGGCCGAGGTATGCGGATGTTGTGGAGAAACGGGGCATGGAGGCCATGAGTGCTCGAGGTATATGGAGCCGAGTTATGATCCCAATCTTGTAGCGGTCCCTTTTGATGTCAATGTTGTGCAAAGGTATGCTCCCCGGGTTCAAAATGATCCTTATTCGAACACCTACAATCCCGGGTGGAGGAATCATCCTAACTTATCATGGAGGGACCTGAAGGCGGCCTATCCACCCCAACCGACACCACCTCAACCTTACAACCAACCTCAAGCCTATGCACCCCCGAACAACCGACCTTTCCAAACGAGGCCCGAATTTCAAGGCTACCAACCGAGGCCCGAGTTCAAAGGATACCCACAAGGGAGTGGAGGATTTATCCCGAGACAACCGATACCACTTCTACCAGAGCCCGAGAGAATTGCTAATGGGGAATCCTCGGATACCTGGATCGAGAGCCTAGAGAAGTGTCTTCAATCGTTGGCCTCTACCGTCTCTACGTTACACGACACCGTCAAAGGAGTACCCTCGATTCAAGCCTCTCTCAAATGCCTCGAGACTCAAATGGGGAAACTCGGAACTTCTATCGGGGTGATTCAAAGGGGCAAGATAAAAGACAAGCTCCCGAGCCAACCCGAGCACGTCAATGCAATCATGGTTTTGAGGAGTGGTAAGAAAGTCGATAATCATGTAGAGATGCCCGAGAAAGATGAGGTTGTTGAAGTTGTTGTTGATGAGGATGATGATGAGCTGCATGAGAAGGTTGATGTTTCTAAGGGGAAAGATGTGGTTATTGAAGAAATCGAGAAGGTGAACCCCAAGAAGGATGCCCGTGAGGCTTTGCATAAGGCGGATGCACCATACCGACCATCGGTCCCTTTCCCGAGTCGTTTGCAAGATAAAAAGAAGGAGCGTCAATTCAAGGATCTTTTCGACATGCTCTCGAAGGTAAACGTGAATCTCCCATTACTAGACGTTATCAAAAACGTGCCGGCATATGTTTAATTTTTCAAGGATATAGCTTCGAAAAAGAGGAGATTCAGGGATAATGAGAAAGTCATGATTTCCGAGGTAGCCTCGACTACTATACCTCGGAAAGAGTGCAATCCGGGAGCTTTTGTCATGAAGATCACGTTCGGGAATAGAAAGGCTACAACCGGGATGCTCGACTTAGGTGTCGGTATAACCTCATGTTATATTCTATCTACAAACAATTGGGTTTACAAGGGCTTAAGCCGACCCGGATGTGCCTACAACTAGCGGATCGCACTTTGAGGGAACCGAAGGGCATAATTGAAGATGTGTTCGTCAAAGTTGGTTCTATTGTTGTGCCGGTTGATTTTGTTGTCCTTGATGTTGGAGATGTCCCGAACACCGGGAAGGAGCACACGATTTTGCTTGGACGACCTTTCATGGCCACGACCAACACCATTATCGATGTCAAGGATGGGCGAGTCACTCTTTCGGCTCATGGAGAGACGGCTACTTTCACGATGAACAATGCCCGGGAAGCTCCATCCAAAGTTGGCCAATGCTCATTCATGGAGGACATCGACAAGGAGGTACATCTCAACTCTAATTCTAAATTTTCTAATTGCAATGGTGTTGGAGGTAAAAAGGATGTGTTGGAGTTGGGAAAGAGTGTGAATGATGACTTTGAGGGGAAATTTGAGGAATTGAGTAAGCACAATAATGTTGGAGGTGGTAGTGGTATGAAACCGGGCAAGAAAGGGGCGAAAAAGAAGTATAAGAATGGAGATGCCAAATCGGGAGGAAGCCCACCGAGTTTGAAAGATAATGTGAATTCCGGGGTTTGGAAGTTCACGAAAAGTGGGGTGAAATTTGAAAATGGTGATGAATGGAAGAAGAAGCCCCCGGTGTCCCCGAGAAGTAGGTGGGCGAATATTTTCCTTGACGAGCTCGAGAATGAGGTTGGAGGAGCTCATCAAGCCATGCCCGGTTGACTATGATTTGACAGGAAAGTCGAGCTCACGACTTTAAACCGAGCGCTTCATGGGAGGCAACCCACATTTTTCTTTTTGATCTTTCTTTTTTTTTTTCTTTTTGATTTTTGTTGTTTTTATTTCCTTTTCTCTTTTTTTTTTTTAAAAAAAAATCGAGAGCTCGTGCCGACCTGCTCGGCAGTACCGACTTGTTAGAGCCGAGCCAAAAAAAAAAATGAGCGAAATCGAGTTTTTATTGTGTTTATGAGTTAAGTGAGATTCTTGAGTGAAGATTATAAAAATTTGATTAAGTGTTGAAATTGCATAAATTCGAAATCCATTTTCGCTAGCTAAACAATTTTCGCTAGGTTCCATTTTTGGACAGACACGAAAATTCGAGGGCTCAAATCTGGATTCGCTACTTAGGAAAATTCGCGGGGAAGACTACTTGGACAGAGCCAAAAATTCTAGGGCTCGAAAATTGAGTTCGCAGGCATGCTAATTTCGTAGGATATAAAAGGCTGGGTCAACACTTGGTCAAACCCTAATCCCAAACCAATTTTTTTAGAAAACCTTCAGGCTAGATGCTTAGAATCAAATAAATAAAGTCTTTTGCTTCTACCGGGGAAGAATTCCCTCAGCTCAAGATTTCTCTCTCCTGCCCCAAAATTAACGCAGCTGCGCCCATCTCTCTTCTACCTCGCCATCCGTCGCTCCCAGCTCTGACCACAGACCGGCGACGCGACCACCGACCGATGACCGAGCCTTGCAGCAGCAACCGACGACCAACCCTCCGGCGTGCAGCGACCCGAGGCCCCGCGATTTCCAGCTGCAACCTGCCAGCGACTACCAGCGCGAGCTCACTTCCAGCGATTTCCTTCGCCCAGCCACGCCTGCAACTTCCGGCAATCTCGACTTCGACCTAGCCCAGCATCCCTGCGACCTCCGAGCTGAAATTCCCGTAGGCGACTTTCAATTTCCAGAGACTTAGCTCCGCGACTCCGCACCCTCGCTCATTCACCGATTTCCGCCTAGCCCTGCATCTGGATTTACGGCGACGCGGCAACCGAGCTCCACCGTGATGACTCAGGTGGCGACTGCACTCTAACCTCCGATGAGTCGAGTTTCCCCGCAATCAAGGAAACCAAGTTTCACTTCCGACTGTTTCGGGCCCTGACTACGGCTGACTTCTCCAGCGTCTCGAGCCATCACCAAGCGGCAGCAACCATTCTCCAGCCCCGAGTTCATTCTCCGACCGAAGTTTTTCAAGTTCCGGTAGCCCCGAGTTGCTACCGAGGTATACGACTTAACTTTTTATTAGTTCAGTTTATTATTATCGATTGCAATTTACTTTGTTTGGAGATTGAGAATTTTCTAGTTAACTTGGAGTAGATTTGGTATTTGGGAAATCTATTGTGATAGGTACGTCTTGCCGGGCGTGCCAATTATTGTGTTAGTTGTTCGGTCATTAAATTTGTAGGTTGTTTCGTAACTCGAGAGTGCCGGAATTCGATTTGCTACGATGGGCACGAGGAAGAAATTGGTCATGTCTAAGAATACCGCCAATGCTAGTCCTCCCTTGCCCGGGCCTTTGTACCGAGATTACTACCATGATGGACGACGTGCACACGACGAAGGACCATATTGTCGCCACCTTGGACGCACAACTCCAACCATTTGAGCAAGAAAAGAGCCGTCGAGCCAAGTACTTCCATTCCACCAGACGAGACGCCAATTGATGCACGGTGATTATTCACCGTGTTGAGTATGCACTTTCTTTTCTTTATTTTCTCTTTCTCTTTGTTTCTTTTTATGTGTCTTTGTGTTTATGTGTTCATTTTCTTTTCTTTCGTTTCTTATGTTTTATGGTATTCACCGCATGAGCTTATATGATATTGTTTTCCTTCCTTATACTTTGTTGATTAAGCAATGAGGACATTGCTTTGTTTGAAGTGTGGGGGAGAGTTTTTTCTTGATTATGCATGTTTAGGTGGTGATTACTTTGTCTTAGGTGCTTATCTTTTTGTTTTATGTTTCTTGGACCGGTTTTGTGTGTTAGTCTTGTGTGTTTTTGTCGATTCCCCCTCGTGAAGTTCAATGCTTGGTCAATTTGTTAACTTTTATTGGATAAGTTGTTTTTGTCGTTTTGAACTATCTTGTTTAATGCCTTGTAATGATTCCAATTCCGACAATTCTAAGTAATTGAAGATTCGTGAATGTGGAACACATGATTTAGAATTACGTATTGTTTTGTCCTTTGCAATGCCCGATTGGTCCATACTTTGAACTTGCGTGCTTTGAGGTCTCTTGTTTTTAGCATACATGTATTCTCATTTTGTACACTTCGTGACATTTTGTTTGATCATATGTTGGGTGAAGTTCACGTTGTTGTAGGGAATTGTTGCCCTCTCGAAAAAAAATAATAATAATAATAAAAAAAAGTGAGTATCGCGGGGTCGTACGGATTACACTCCTCTTGTTTTGATTCATTTTGGTGAATTATAATAATGAGTGCGGGAAACCGGTCTAGAGAACTCGAGGTAATCCCTCGAGGTTAAACATAGATAATATTGTCCGGAAATCCTCGTTTGGAAAAAGTAACTCACGGAAAAAAAAATAAAAATGGAGTTCGTGGGAGTTTGAAGGATTAAACTCCACTTGAGCCGGTTTGTCTATTATAGATAGATCGGGACAACGAGAACGGGAAACCGGCTTAGGAGGCTCGAGGTAAACCCTGAAGATTATACCTAAGTAATAATTGTCCGGATAACTCTCATTTAGAAAAATCGGCTCTTAAAAAAAAGTTACGAATAAGAGAGGGAAACATTCATTTGTGCCTTGGATATTCTTGATATGTGAGTAGGCTCTTTGGATCCCATGAGTTTATGGTTAGTTATTTGTTGGGACATCGATGCGTGTGTGTTCTCGAGTAGATTTGTAAAAGTATGCTTGTGATGAGTTG